GGAAATAGTTTTATTTGGTTGCAGCCGGATTTAGAGGGCACATCTTCTACCAAACAATCATCCAGGCCATTTACCTTCTCAAATGAAAACAAAAGACTGGAGGCTTACCCACCAGAGAAGGTTAAAAAAAAAAAAAAGTTCTACAGTGGGAGAAGAGAGGTGTTTCTGGGCATACTTGAGGTCAGAGGTACATTACAGAAAACTGAAAAACTAAATGAAAAATCCTCTAAAAACATGAATGCTGAAATCATCTTTGTAAATCCTTATTTCCTATTCTGTTGCCAGAATGCTAATAAAAAAACTAATAATCTTAAATTAATAATTTGAAAAATTATCACAGCCATTTGACTCACAAGAAATACAATAGCCAGGCATGATGGTGTACACTTGTAATCCCAGTGACTTAGAAGGCTGAGGCAGGAGGACTACAAATTCAAAGCCAGATTCAACATATTAGCAAGGCCCTAAGCAAATTAGTAAGACCCTGTCTCAAAATAAAATATAAAAAAGGGGTGGGGATATTGCTCAGTGGTTAAGTACCCCGGGTTCAATCTCCAGGGTGTGTGTGTGTGTAAAAAATAGATTCTTGGAACTAGGATCAAACTAAAGAAATTTTATTTACACTTATTTATGAGCAAATAACCAAAGATTAACTTTACTTGTTTTTAAATATTACCAAAAAGCCAAGGATCACCAGATATGCAATAAGACCCCCAAACATCAATGATAGACCAAAATAGTCAAAAAAAAAAAAAAACAAGAAAGAAAACATTTATAGGAAACACATGCTATTTGGTGCTATGTAGGTAGAATAAAAACTTCAAAAATACACAACAGTGGAAATGAAAATGTCAATACAAGCTGGGCATGGGTGCAGCAGGAGAATCACAAGTTCAAGCCCAGCCCATCAACTTAACAAGAAACATAGCAACATAGTCTCAAAATAAAAAGATCTGAGGGTATAGCTCAATGGTAGAGCCCCACTGGGTTCAACCCCCAGTACTTTGAAAGAAGGAAAGAAGAAAAGAAAAACAATGTCAAAAGAAAATGTCAGCACAATGGTTAAAAATAAAGTTTAAGAAGTATCCAAGAAAGTAATTTCAAAAGAAAATGGACAAACTATTTTAAAATTAGTGGATTGATACTATCATAAATGGCATTGTTTTAATTCTATTCTGGATTGTTCATTGCTACTGTATATAAGTACAGTTTATTTTTACTTATCAACCTGTCCTGCAACCTTGCTGAACTTACATTTTGGTGGATTACTTCAGTTTTCTATGTAAAAGATCAAGGAACTGATGAATAAAGACAGATATATTCCTACCTTTTAAATATGGGCATCTTTTATTTTTTATTCTTCCCTAGTTATCCTGGGAAAAACCTTTAGTATAAAGTTAAAGAGGCCAGAGAAGATTTATTTCTCTTATCTTGACCCTAAAGTGCAAACTTTCAGTTTTCCCCACTAACTGTGAAACTGTGATTTTATTATAGTGTTGCTGGACTCAGATTGTTCATACTTTTTGAAAAATTTTTATCTATATTTGTAAAATCATATCAGTTTGTAGTATACTTTTATTATAACTATTCAACCTCATTTGAATACCAGGGTAATATTTCTTATATAATATGAGTTGGGAAGTGTCACTCTTCTTATCCTGAAGAAATTATATGAAAATGAAATTACTATTTTTTAGTGTTTGGGAGAATTTGTTAGTAGAACTATCTGTACTAGGCTTTGCTTTGTAAGAATGTTTTTATTGTGAATTTAATATCTTCACTTGTTATAGGATTACTCAATGAGAAACAAAATCTTTGCTCCATAGAACTTTTCTTTATACTGTTGAGGTTTTCTGTTGTTGTTGTTGTTGTTCTTAGTTGTTTTATTTGTTGGTATTTCATTGACTTATTCCATCAATAAAAATCTCTATTTGTGAGAGACCAACCTTGCACTTGACTGAGTCACACTCCCGGCTGGGTGCTGAGGCGCTCAGTCACAGAAATGTAGCAGAGCTTCCCCCAACCTTCTTGGGTTCGAGGGTGGGTGTCTCGTGCATGTGTGTATCTTGCTACAGCCCCATGGGTGAAGCTAAGGTCACCTGTTCCTTTGTATATAACCCCTTGCCCTGTTTAGGATAGAATCTTCCATGGAAGTGCCTTGTGTGTGTCCCCTTTTCTTACTGTGCCCTTGGGTGTGGCCTACCCAGGTGTCAGTCAACCTGCTGACAGTGGACATCATGAAGACAGACTCAGCCCCCTGAAACCTGACCCCTTGCCTCATTTGAATAGCTTCTCCTCAATAAAAGGGGTCAGTGCGTGCTCTCGCTCTCTCTCTTCCTACAGACCCTTAAAGTCAGAGGGCCGTCACAGCGACCCCAAAGAAAAAGGTATTTGTGTCTCTTGTGTGGTTATTTTGTGCAGCCCAGTTAGCCCAGTTTAACTGGAGTGACCCCTGAGCCTTTTAGTCGCAAGAACAGAAACCCGGCATCTGTTTATCTATAGATATAGATAGAGTATATGGAGATATTTCTATTTATAGATGTAGATAGATATAGATCTTCTTCTTATATGCTATAATTTCAAATATGTTACTATTTTTATTTTAACTTGTTATGTATGACAGCCGAATGCATTACACTTCATATTACACATATAGAGCACAATTTTTCATATCTCTGGTGTACACAAAGTAGTCACACCATTTGTGTCTTCATATATGTACTTAGAGTAATGAAGTCCATCTCATTTCACCATCTTTCCTACCCCCAGGCCTCTCCCTTCTCTTCCCTCCCCTTTGCTCTATCTACAATTCATCTAATCCTCCCATGCTCCCCTCCAACCCCAATATGAATCAGCATCCTTATATCGGAGAAAACATTTGGCATTTGTTTTGGGGGGATTGTCTAACTTCATGTAGCATTACATTCTCCAACTCCATCCATTTACCTGCAAATGCCATGATTTTATTCTCTTTTAATGCTGAGTAATATTCCATTGCATATATATACCACATTTTCTTTATTCATTCATCTACTGAAGAGCATCTAAGTTGGTTCCACAGTTTAGCTATTGTGAATTGTGCTGCTATAAATACTGAGGTAGTTACATCACTGTAGTATGCTGTTTTTAAGTCCTTTGGGCATAGATCAAGGAGTGGGATATCTGGGTCAAATGGTGGTTCCATTCCCAGTATTCCAAGGAATCTCCAAACTGCTTTCCATGTGGGCTGCACCAATTTGCAGTCCCAGTCCCACAAGCAACATATGAATGTGCCTTTTTCCCCACTTCCTAGCCAAAACTTATTGTTGCTTGTATTCTTTTTAAAAAATGTTTATTTTTTAGTTGTATTTGAACACAATACCTTTATTTTTATTTATTTTTATGTGGTGCTGAGGATCAAACCCAGGGCCTCACATGTGCTAGGCAAGCACTCTACCACTGAGCCACAACCCCAGCCCTATTGCTTGTATTCCTTTTTTTTTTTAATCTTCCACCAAGGAAAAAAATTTTTTAAAGTATAGATTACCAGTTATTTCAAAATACATGAGAAAGACAAATATACAAAGGCAGTATCATACAACTGATTTCTAACCTCAATACTTTTGAAGTACAAAGCAATGATAACTACCCTGAAAATTCAGTTTGTTGACAGAACTTGATCTTTAAGTTGGTCAAAAACCCCTTTCACTCAATTTGTTTATATATATATATATATATATATATATATATATATATATATATATATATATATATTACTCAGTTTTTCAGTTTCATCATATATCAGAACTTTGGTTTTTTGTGGGGGTTTTTTTGTTGTTTTTTTAATGTGATCCCTTCTCAAGTATAGTTTTTTTCTTGCAATTAATGTTAGCAACTATAGGTAACTTGCCTAAGTCACAAGAATTCAATATAACCACTACTCTAAATAGTTACCATTTGGAGTTACCTATACTAAGACTCACATGTTTAAAGTCAAAATATTAACAAGCAAACTATGGGGATTGAGAACAGGACTAAGGAAAGACAATCTTATCTTTTACTAAAGACCTGCTAAAACAAAATATCTATTACTTACTTTGGTACTATGGCTAGAGAAGCAGTTACTGCTAGACCACAGGTAGCTATGCAGTTGTCCATTTTATATTTCCTTTTCTAAGGAATGACAGATTTTACCAATTAAGTTTCTTAACCTAAAAAGCAGGTACCTGGGCTGGGGATGTGGCTCAAGCGGTAGCGCGCTTGCCTAGCATGCACGGGGTGCTGGGTTCGATCCTCAGCACCACATAAAAAATAAATAAATAAAGATGTTGTGTCCACTGAAAACTAAAAAATAAATATTAAAAAATTCTCTCTCTCTCTCTCTCTCTCTCTCTCTCTCTCTCTCTCTCTCTCTGTGTGTGTGTGTGTGTGTGTGTGTGTGTGTGTCTCTCTCTCTCAAAAAAAAGCAGGCACCTATAAACAACCCTGTACTTTAACTTCTTGAAATAAATTATTTTCTTAATTGGTTTATTAGCAGCCTTGTGTCTGGAATACCAAGTAAATCTATTTTGTTCCAAAATTAGAATGCTGACTCAGATGCTATCTTCCACTCATGAAGGTAGACCTTCACAAACTATATAATATAATAAATGCAAAAATATTTCAGCTATCAACACATACCACTGAGCCAGCAAAAAACAAAAAACCCCACACTCATAAGATAACTCATAAGAAACTGGTTTGTACAAAATAAGAAGGTATATATCCTCTTATATAAGAGAAATATATATGGTAATAAAAGTAATCTATAATAAACTTATAGAGATGATTCCGATTTACATGTTAAGTCTGCCTAAACTAATTGTCACTGAAAGACTGGAAGTTTTCTTTTCCTCATGTCATGCCCATCATTATAATTAAGCTGGCCCTAGTTTCTTACAAATGTATTACTTCCTTGGGTTTATCAACTATACCCTCACTGCACTGCAATTAACTTATACACTGGGCCTGCCCAGCCTGCCTATAAAGCCTTTCTTCCAAAATATACCAGATGTATTAAACAGAGGCATCATTTAGTAGAATTCTGTACTTCAAGACAGCATATGAAGAAAGAGCAATTGGTCCTCTGATGTAGATACCTCTCATTTCACATTATCACAGAAACAGTGCAGTTTACCAACTACTCCTTCTTTACAGGAAACTCGGTAGCTGTAAAATTTTTGTTCAGTTTGAAACATTTCAATACCTATTAATTCCAAAGATCCGAACACCATGTAGTTGTGGCATTTGGGGAATAAGCACACTCAGAAGAGAAGCTGTGTTAGGATGAAGTAAGTTGAATCGTACTTTGTTTAGAAACTTGTCAGAAAATATAGAATTGTTGGAGAAATTGTGAAAAACTTCCATGAAGATGTTAGGAGCCTTGCTTTACCTTGGTCAGGAGTTTCAAAAGGTGTTCCTTTTACTGCATGCAAAAATACATACATCCCCAGATTATGTATAATATTTGTTAAGGTCCAAGCAACAGGAACACTGAAGAAAGGAATGCTGAGTAAGACAATATGGAAGCAGAATACAACAGACACTAGTATGGCAGTATGTAAAAACGTGGATGTGTAACCAATGTGATTCTGCAATCTGTATACGGGGTAAAAATGGGAGTTCATAACCCACTTGAATCAAATGTATGAGATATGATATGTCAAGAGCTTTGTAATGTTTTGAACAACTAATAATAAAAATAAATAAATAAATAATTGGGAAAAAAAGACAATATGGAGCAAGCCAACTCCCAATGCATATGTCAGCCACATACCCCGGTTGTTCATTACACGGGTATTTGGATTCACTTCACTGTGGGCAACTCCAACATTCATGTTTGCTCCGCCACCCAGTTCCCGGTGGCTGGCACTGCATAAGACCCGCCCAGTGGCAACCTCAGCTTACACTCATGCTTCAAAAGCCAAGTCTGCCCCAGCGCGGCACCTCAAGCCGTCACTGTCCTAGCGCACTCACTGCCCTTGCTGGTATTCTTAATAGCTGAAATTCTGACTGGAGTGAGATGAAATCTTAGAGTAGTTTTGATTTGCATTTCTTTAATTGCTAGAGATGTTGAACATTTTTTCATATATTTGTTGATTGATTGTACATCATCTTCTGAGAAATGCCTGTTCACTTGCTTGGCCCATTTATTGATTGCATTAATTGTTTTCTTGGTGTGGGCCAAGGAACTGAACAAACACTTCTCAGAAGATGATGCTGTTGTTTTTTAACTTATTTCGTTTTATTTTAATGCTTTTATTACTCCACTATAGTTATACATAATAATTGGACATTCATTTTGACATATATAAACATTCATGGAATTTAATTTACTCCAATTTAGTACAGGTGCCTCCTCTTACCCTCCCCTCTACCCTATCCCTACTCTCAATCCTCTATTGGTCTACTTCTATTTCTTTCATTCTTTATCATTAATTGGAACATTATAGATACACATAAAGGTGGAAAGAACTGTAGTGTCTTTGTACAGACACATAGCATCATTTTGTCAGTCATTTCCCTTTATGCTGTTATTAAATGAATAAACATTGATGTTATGCACTCTATGCCTGTCAACTTAGGTTAATTATGTTTTGCTTTTTTAAAAAAAGTTCTCTTTTCAATCAATTAGGAGAAAAAGAGATAAACAAACCACGTATTTACAATTTTTCTTGTTACATATGCAGTTACCCTTGCTGGTGACCTTAATTTCTTCATGTAGATTTAATACCCAGTGTCCCTTCAGCGGGAAGACTTCCTTTAGTTGTCTTATAAGACAGGTCTAATAGCAATAACTCTTCTCAGATTTTGTCTACATGAGGATACCTTAAATTCTTCTTTGTATTTTTTGCTAAAATGTTCTGTTTCATAAAATATTTTGTGATAATCAGAGTTGAACGTGCCCCATTTTTATGA